GGCTCCTGCCTCACTATCCCCAGGAGAAGGGTGCCCCCCACCCCAAAAAAAGTTAAGACAGCGGCTGCACAATCCAATCCCCACCCCGTCTTTTACCTGCGAGGGGTGGAGAACCTGTCCAGCCTTCATCTTGGCTCATTTTGTACCCCCTGGGCCAGGGGTCGGCAACCTTAAACAACCAAAGAGCCACAAAGGTCCTAACCAGAAGCTCCCTGTTCAATTCTGGAGCTGACCGGAAGTCCAGTTTCCCACCATAGAGTCTCCTCCTGGCACGCCCTGCTCCCCCACTCCTAACCGGAAGCTGCTTCTTAAAATTGTGGTGCCAAGCAGAGGGAGGAAAGAGCCGCATTGTGGCTCCCGAGCCGCAGGTGGCTAACCCCTGACCTGGGCACTCGTCACAGAGAAGTTGTGGGGTGTTTTGCTTGTAGGCGTCCAAGGGAAATGGGGGGTGGTCATTGTAAAGGCATCACCAATATGAAGCAGGCTGTAATTAAGGGGTTATTTTTGTTTTCACTGCTTTGGCAACTGGGGAGGCTGCCCCAAGCGAGAAGTAATTGTGGTCAGTTAATGTTCCATCATGGCTTTGCTCAGGGAGCGCTGGCATTGACGTTGCTGACGCAGTGGGCATGCAGGGAGTGCGTTAAGGATCTGATTTTGGGAAAGGGAAAAAAAAATATTGGTGTGGCTACAGGGCATACCTCCCATTCCTTCCTTTCTCTCTTCCCCCTCCCCGTAAGGCTGTAAATACTTTCTTTTGTATTCATAAGACCGTGTCCCAGTGACACTTTTTAAAGACTTTAACCAATCTCCGTTTCCTTGTGGGTTTTTAAAGGCAGGCGGGGGGGGGAAGTGGGGAGGGGAGAGGGTGGAAGCTAACAATGTTCCTTTGCTTGTTAGCCGGGTGATGATGATGGCGGTTTCTGTCCCAATTCCTACGCAAACTGGGTTTGTACAAAATTTGGGGAGAAGCCTTTGCCGACTTCGTCCGTTTCAAAGGAGAAGGGAGGGAAAATGTCCAAAGAAACCGTATCTCGTTCCCATGATTGTATAATTTAATTGTAGCTCAAGCCATGATGAGGGATGCAAAGTCCCCTTCCGGACGTTTGCAGCCTCCCGAATCCTCCCTCTGAAAATTCCCTGAGCTCACACCACTTATTCCTTAAAATCAGTATCACACTCCTTGGTCATTTGCACAGCCCGCAAGGTTGAAATGATCTGGGGAAGCGGAGAGACTCCGGGTCCAGGACGTCCCAGAAAGTCCAGGGGGAAATTAACTCAAAAAAGCCAATTCAGCCTTGTCACCCACCCCCCACCTCACCCCTGGGAGTTGGGGAGTGGAAGGGTTGCTGTTTGCGAATCTACTTTAGGCTGGAATAAGTCGCACATTTTTGCAGAGCTGCTTAAGACCAAAAAAAAGTGTTTTAGCGTTTTCAAAACGGGATTTTCATCCGACCGCCGCAGTCTCATGCGTCCACGTTTATGAGGTGCGTGCGAAGCACGAAGGGGGGAGAGGGGGAGGGAAGAGGAGGATGATTCAAGAGCAATAGTTGTGTCACCCCCAAACCTTATTCCACTTTCTTGAGGTCGCCCTTTGATATTATAAACTGAACAATGGTTTGAAATGGAAATGTTTACTGTGTTGTACATATTGTGCTTTATATTCTGTATATCGGCCTGTTTCCAAGGGGGGCTGTGGGGAAGGGGTGGGGGTGGGGGGTAACCAGATGTCATGTATTTGTGCACTTGCCCGGAGAACTGGTGGTTAAGCTTGCTCCAAACAGGGTGTGGGGGTGTTATTTCCTCCTCTTTCCCTCCTACCTTACAATTTAAGAAATTACGATTTCAGGATCCTTAGGTCTCCAAGCTTGGCGACTTTAAGCCGGGTAGCAAAGCTGGCTGGGGAATTCTGGGAGTTGAAGTCCACCCAGCTTAAAGTCGCCAAGCTTGGAGACCCCTGTTCTAGGGAATGGTTTCCACAAGCCCTCTCCCCATCCTCACCCGTGCCAAACCTCCCACACGCATTGAGCCAACCTGCCCGCCTCCTTTTCCCTCCCACCAACGTCTGACTCACTCACTCCCTGTTCACCTTGGGATAGTTTCTCCCCCTCCCCACGTTGCCCACTCGAAGAAGGGACTTCTGTGTGGTTGGATTCTCCCTTAACCTTCCTAACTCCCCCCCCCCCTTTGAATCTCCGTTAAGGGTGGTGGGTTTCTCTCCGGTTCCCCCCCTCCCCCAGGGGGGGTTCTCTTCCATTTCATATGGTACCAAACGGGTTTCCTCTGTGAATCAGGGATGGTCTCGGAAGCTTCTCAGTGAGGCTGGGGAAATGGGGTACGGTGGTTGTTGGTTTTTTGGGGGGGTTTCCGAGGAAGAAACCCCCTGACAATAAATGCCAAAATTTCTGGTTACTAAAAGTTTTGTGTGTCTCTCTTTCTTTCAACCAAACATCCCTCCCCAATGCAAACCCCTCCTCCCTTCCTGGGGATCAGGTCTCTGCTCCTGGGACCAGTGTCACTGGCCGGGAATGCCAGTCTTCCCCAAGGGGCCTTGCTCAATCCCTGCCCCTTGTCCCCAGGGCAGCCTGACAGCCTCGTTTTTACACCAAATGCCACCAGCTGTTCATATTTCCCCACTCTCGCCGCAAATCAGCACAGAAGACACAGCTTCCTTGTAGGTTAGGACACCCTGTGCCAAGTGGGCAGAAACCTGGGCACCAGCTGCATTTTATTTAAACTCTCCTCCCTCCCTGGCGATCAGGCCTCTGCTCCTGGGTTCCAGTGTCACTGTCCAGAAGCGCCAATCTTCCCCAAGGAGCATTGCCCAATCCATGCCCCTTGTCCCCAGGGCTGCCTGGCAGCCTCGTTTTGCACCAGGTGTCACCAGCTTAGGAAGAGTCCCCTTCATATTTCCCACCCTTCCATTGCAAATCAGCGCAGAAGGCACAACTTCCTTGTAGGGCAGGACACCCTGTGCCAAGTGGGTAGAAACCTGGGCACCAGCTGGGGTTTTTTATGCCAGCCTATCATTGGGCTTTGACCGTGCCCAACATCGGTGCCTTGGGGGGCAGACGATCCCGATGGCTGCTCGCTGCAAGGCTCTACCTCGCACATGCCCCCTGCGAGGTAGGCTGGCATGAATGGGCATCAGTCGCCTTGCCTTTCCCAAGTTGCACTTGCCTCTTCCTTGTGGGGAGGGAACAACCTCCACAGGGCAAGGTTCCCACAGTTAAGAGTGATGGGAGTAGAAGTTGTGGGAGCTTCATCCCTGGAAGCTTTCAAGAAGAGACTGGACTGCCATCTGTCAGAAATGGTGTAGGGTCTCCTGCTTTGGGGGGTTGGACTAGATGACCCACAAGGTCCCTTCTAACTCTTAAGTCTATCTGAAAGACATCTCCTTCCCCCCCCCACCCCGTTCAATTGCGCAACTTTTCGAAAGGGGGAGGAGAAGCGCCAGCGCGGCTTCTGATTGGTGCTCCCAAGGCCGCCTTCGGATTGGCTGCCTTGCTTCCCGCCCCTTTTCGCCTGGACCGCGAGGGACTAGTCCATTCGCGGCGCCAGAAAAGGGGGGGGGGCGGTGGTGGTTCCTTTGCCTGCCCTGTGCCTAAAAGCTTTGAAAGACGCTTACAAAAATATGCGTGTGTGTGTGTAATATAAAGTAATCGTGCCCTTTCCCGCGGAAGGCGCGTTTTCGACCAAGCCAATAATAATAATAATAATAAAACAACTCACACGCACACCATTTTGGGAATGGTTCGGCCCGAGCGGCGGCACGCGCCGCCCGGCATCGCCGCCTTGCCTCTCTTCCCTCAGGATCAGGCGGGGATAGGATGGCTTTGCGGTTGCCTCTTCTCCGCCGGCCGGGCTCCCTCCGTAAGCTGAGGTGAGTCTCTCAGTCTCTCTCTCCCCTCACCGGCGACTCCCACTCCCATCGTCCCCTGCCGGACTTCTGGTTTGGGAGCTTGGGAGGGGGGCTTCTTGGGGGGGGCAGTGCCGTCACTGGGGCTCTTTGAGGAGGGGAAACCCCCCCCCCCAACAAGGGGAACTTCAGGGAGTGGGCTCCACCCACCCCCCCATTCTCCGTCCACTTATTTTGGAAAATAATTCATAATTCATATTAATTTTAGGAACTAATCCCCCCCCCCACTTTGGAAGTCTTCACCTGCTAGCAATCTCTGCTGGTGCTATTATGATTATTATGCTGGTTTCCCTGTTGACCGTCATTGCTGTATTAATATTAATACCGACTTTCATAATAATGACATAAGGGTAAAAAATAAAATAATAACGGTGATAATATTAACAGAAATAGTAATAAAGGCAATTCATAATAATAATAATAATAGTAACAGCAATAACAGCTGACTGAGTTTCATGTTTAATGAATAAAGTATGCAATAAGGATAATGATGTAATAACAATTAATATAACAATATAAAAATAAGCCTGTGTAATTTGCATTTTCTTCCATTCACCCTCCCTTTATTGGCAGTTTGCCTTATCTTCCTCCCAAGCCATCAGGCAGGTGTGCCTTCCACATCAGCCATTAGCAAGCTTTAGGAGTTTCAGCCCTTACCACTACCCTATAAATAAAATATAAATAAACACCAATATGCACATCTGTGTACACACACACACACACAACAGCTAGTCCTCGACTTATGAAGCAGTTAAGTGAGCTTTGCCCCGCTTTACGACCTTTCGCGCCACAGTTGTTAAGTCACACGGTTGTAAAGCGAATCTGGCTTCCCCCGTTGGCTTTGCCACGTGACAACCGTCATAAATATTGAGTCAGTTGCCAAGCGCCTGAATTTTGATCACACAGCCTGGAGAGGCTGCAACGGTCGTTAAGTGTGAAAAGCAGCCCTCTGTCCCCTTTTTCAGTGCCGTTGTTACTTCGGACGGTCCCTAAAAGAACTATGGTTAAGTTGAGGACTACCTATGCATAGACATATTGAGGGGGGGAATAAAACTCTTTTACTTGGGTTGCCCAGAAAACCTTTGAGGTCCCTTTCCCCCCCCCCCCAGTGTCAAGTTCAGCTCCTTTGTGGGGGGTAGGGACACTAACTCTCCTTTTCCTTTTTTTTAATTTTGCTTCCAGCCTGGGGCTTTAAAAAAAGAAAAGTGACAGGTTAGTCCTGGTGATGAAATATTCTTGCTCTGTCGTAGGGTAGTGGAAATTTTTCTCTCTGTCTTTTTGCTTGCTGAGTAGAAATAGATCTGACAGGGCTGGAAAATCAAACTGGCCTTCCGGTTTCCAGCTGCAGCATAATTTCAATTTAAAAAACCATTGCCTTTTGCTGTCAGTATTGGCCTTTTTAGGGCTACTTGCATTGCTGGAAGAATTGCGACTTTAAAGGACCTCAGGGAAGCAATAAAACGCAGGAGCCAGACAAAACTGCTAAAACCGGGGTGGCAAGTTATGCAGGGGGTCCTCCACTTACAGCCATTGGTTTAGTGACCAAAATTACTAAAAAGAAAGTGATGCAATGACCAATTACTTGATGACCATTGCGGCGTCCCCATGGCCACACAATCGAAATCGTCAACTGTGAGAGTTGCGCTGTTCTGGGATTATGTAATCCCCATTTGTAACCTTCCCAATCAGTTTCAAGCAACTTGGGGAGTTGCATTCTTTCAAGGACTGCGTGACTCGCTTAACAACTGCAGTAAATTCCCTTAACAACCGTTGCAAAAAAAAAGATAGTAAAATCAGGCATGGCTTCCTTCACTGCCACCTCGCTTAGTGGAGGAAATTCTGATCTGTGGTCGTAAGTCAAGGACTACCTGTAAGGTCCAGAGTGATTTGGTTAAGGAAGGCCCAATCAAATGGAAAGCTTTAAATTTGGGGCCCAGAAAGTTCAGCCTCCTCTCCCCCATTTCAGGTTTTACCTCTGAATTTGCTCTCTTTATCTACACAGCACTTTCCTTTCTGGTGTTTATCAGAATTAGTAGGGCTTTGGTCTTATCAGCCTTGGTCGAGATAAAGCCAAGCTGGGACCAAGGGAACTTAACAGCAGTCCTTTTTTTTCGCTCCCTGGGCCTTCAAAATCAAGGTTATGCCTCAAAACCTTCTGAAGCCAAGAAAATCAAACTTTGCACCTAAGCACAAAAGTCCAGCTCCTCAAGCGTGCATTTTGCTGATCACAAATCCCTTGGAATGTGGAAAACAAGAAAGAGAGGGAGAGGAAAGGTTTTCAAAGAATAGTGCCTTCTCAGAAAATGGCCTTTCAGAATAAATACTCTCCATATTTCGTAGCATATATCTCTGCTTTAAAAAAAAAATACACTCACTTCGAGTCAGCATTAGGCTCGGATTGGGGAAACCTGACTGGTTCACATCAAACTTACAAAGGGATTTTCACTAAATTACTGCTTTGTGCAATCCTGAGTCCCAAGGGGAGAAAGAAACCACATTTTAAACTTTGGCTAACCTCGTTTTATTCACAACATTTGAACTCCATTTTTAGACGGAAAAAAAAAGTTGCTGGCACAGCCTGTTAATACCAGTAGCATGCCCCTGTCTTCGGACTGACAATGTAAGAAGCATGACATATGAGGAAAAGGAAATGGGGAGGGAAGAGGAGAATGGAGCAGCCATTGGGGCAAGAAATAGATAGTAGGTGTGGTTATTTATAGCTTAGGAATGCAATGAAGCCTCTCAACAGGACCAAAAGACTAATATACTATTACCTGCAAAGCTGTATCCATGCCCATGAGGGAATCTTTATGTTATACTTTATTCCTATGCTTATCTTATTAAAAGACCTGTGTTGCAAAATATATAACAGAAAATAGCAACAATTTGCACTCCCTAAAATAATGCAAGGTTCAAGTTTTAAACTTCCCTCTCCTTTTTTAGTCCTGGTTTATTGCTTACTCGGGTGTTTATTGATGCACTTGTTCGTCTGCATTTCTTTCTTCCCTCCTCCTGCTAGAATTTCAAAGCAACATACGTGGCTTTCCCCATTCGTTCACCCTTCCTCTTTTAACAGGGCAGCCCTCTTTGGAACTGAAGAAACAAAGTGTTAGTATATATCAGGCCTGCAGATTTCTCAGGGATCCCTTGTGATTCTGACATAAAGCGAAATAATGTCTGTTTTTTTTTTTCCTCTTTCCTTCCCCATCCCCCAGCCTGCGGTGGCAGCACCGTGTCTCTGTCAAGGTGGTCAATGAACCCATATTGGCCTTCAAACCTGGGAGCCCTGAGCGAGCCGCCCTCCAGCAGGTAACAAAGACAAAGAGGAGTGCTCATTGTGGCATAGGCACTAGAGCATGGGTGTCAAACTCGATTTCGTTGAGTGCTGTGTCAGGATTGTGTTTGACTTCGGGGTGGGGTGGGGCAGGGTAGATGTGGCCAGCTTGATGTCACTTGTGTTGGGGTGCCTGTAGTGGCCCGAGTGCAGTTTGGTGGCCCTGCCTTGCTGGTAATGGGGCAGATAAAGATTCCGAGATTGGAGGGTTTGGAGAAAATAAGATTTGGTGGTGAGATTTAAAGTGAGGAAGACAAATATACTCTTTTCAGGTGCAAGGGATTGGCAGGAAGGTTGAAAGGACAGCATGCTTTTGGTTGTGGAGAACAGCAACACAAATACAAGTAGTCCTCAGCGTATGACCACAATTGAGCACAAAATGTCTGTTAAGTGAGTTTTGCCCCATGTTTATGACCTTCCTTGCCACAGGTGTTAAGTGAATCCCCGCAATTGATAAGTTAGTAACACAGTTTGTTAAGTGGATCTGCCTTCCTTACTGACTTTGCTTGTCAGAAGGCCACAAAAGAGAATTGCCTCGGGGCACTGCAACCGTCGTAAATATGAATCACAGTTGCCAAGTGTCTGAATTTTGATCATATGACCTCCTGGGGATGCTGCAATTGTAACATGGGCATACGTCACGTTTTTTAATGCCGTTGTAGCTTTGAACGGTCACGAAATGAACTGTTGTAAGTTGAGGACTACCTGTATCCTATTTGGAGAGAAGGGGGCACAAGAAGGTTTCCAGAATAGGCAAGTTGTGAGTAATGCAAGTGTCAGAGAAATAATTTGTTGTGATCTGGGGAACAGAAGAGATGAGAGGACAGCTAACCTTTTTTTACAAAATTGTTACTTCCTTCTATAGGCTTTAAATGACTTGAGGGGCAAGACCGAAGATATTCCGTGTGTCGTTGGGGGCGAGAAAGTTTGGACAGCCGATGTGAGATATCAAGTGTCGGTGAGTTCCACCAGTAAGGGCCTGCTTCATTTGGTACTCTGATATAACAGCTGTGTTATGGCCTGTCGGCCGCTGACCCCTTCAGCAGCCAAATCAGATGAGAAAGCGGTATGGGAATCAGGGACAACGTCAAGGCAACCCGAGAGCTCTGAAGGGGAAGAGGAAATAGAGCTGTCAGAGAGACAGAGGCAGAGCCTGGGCCACCCATCAGCCCTCAGATGGAGAGTCAACAGCCGCCAGATATGGAGGTGGCTGATGAGGAAGAAGAGGAACAGTGCTTGACGTGCAGATGCGCAGAAGGCAGAGGAGAGGAGAACTGTGGAAATCTATGGGCCAGTCCTTGGGACAGAAGAGCCACTGTTGCTAACGAAGCCCCACTTTACCTCTGGGGATAAAAGTCAGGGTGCAGAGATGAATAGATCTGGCAGACAACTATTCATCTCCCTGCTGGTCTTCCGAATCATGTCTGAAAATTATCAGAATTCTTCTTGGAATCTGCAGCGCCTTCTGAACGTGTGTGTGTATGTGTGTGAGTATCTCCTGTGGGGAAAAAAAGTGAGTGCACTTTCCCGAACTTCCTTTGCATGTGTGGGAAGAAGGAGATAGAGAGAGAGAAAGAGAGACTCCAGGTGTGTTGGGCCAGTTCAGGGGGAAAAGGAGCGAGCGTCACTTTCCACAGGATTTAGAGACTTCCAAGATTGCTGTGTGAGAGAGAACAGCTGCTGGCGCCCCTAACAAAAGGAACGTTTTATTAACTACAAAGGACTTGTCGTGTTTGGGAGCCAGGTCAGAACAAGCTGGGATAAAATCCCCCCCGTCTCCCATCTTTCCCAAAACAACAGACTCTATAGTTTTACTTGTAAAAAGAGCGCAGTTCATCAGTGTTTGACCCAAGGCCTGTAAGTCTCTGGTGATAACGGTCAGTACTGGTCATAAGTATTTTACCTGCTGTATTTCTTTTGGGGACTCTATCACGGCTAGAATGCTTACTGTATTTTCCGGAGTATAAGACGCACCAAGATTTTGAAGAGGTAAATTTTTTTAAAAAAAGTTTTTGCACTCTGCAGACCTCCCAAATCCTCTGCTCGCCTCAGTTTTTGTGAAAAACAGGGCATGCAGAGAGTTTGAGAGGCCTGCAAAGTGCTTTAGGAGGCTTGTAGAGTGCTCCTGGGGGCTGGCTCATTTTTTGCTCATTTTTGCCCTGCCCAGGACCACTCTAGAAGCCTCCTAAAGGCTATGCACAGACATTTTTGCAAAGGGTGGGGGGTTTCGGGAGGCCAAAAATGTTGTATTCAGTGTATAAGACGCACCCAGATTTTCACCCTTCTTTTTTTGGGGATAAAGGTGCATCTTACTCCTAAAATTATGGTATTTTAAAATAATCAGATGCATTTCTGTTTAAAAACGAGCACAGGTGGTTTTCGATTCCATTTGGATGATCGCAGGTCAAAATTGTCAACCTTTTTCTTCCTTCCTCTTTTTTCCCCCCCAGCCCTTTAAACATTTACACCAAGTGGCCAGATACTGCTACGCTGATAAGGTAAGCAAAGCATCCTGCGGTATGACTTTTCCGGCGGGGGGGGGGGGGACTTCACAGGTAGGGATCGTTTCAGATTGAGGCTGTGCTTGTAAGCATGTTTTATAATAACCTTGTGTAAGCTCCCGAGCACCATCTACAAAAGAGGGTGTCCGTTGTATGTCTGAGCGACTCACTGTTCTGTCCCTGAATCCAGGCCTCGAGCCTCACTCGCCTTTGAGATGAATGTCTTCTTCCTGAGGCAGAGCAGAATTTAACCCTCCTTTGGGAAATTTCCTGACAAATGGCTCTTCTGTGCCAGCAATTAGGAGCTATTCCCACAACACAACTGATACATAAAGGAGTGCTGGTGAAGGCAGGGTTATACAAAAAGTAACAAACTCAATAATAATAATAATAATAGCCAGTGGTAATTGGCACACTGGGTGCTATTCCAAAAGCACTGGAATTACATTTAAAACAGTTAAAAATTGACAAAAT